GTCTGAAGTGCATGATTTTATGCTATGGACGACAACAATGTTGACATGTTGGTACTGTTTGGAGGAAGGGGAGGTATACCGCAACTCGCATTCAGCCGAGGTTTGCCTTCCAGGGGAAACTTAGACAAACGCTCATATGCTGACCTTGGAAAAAATGATGTCCTGGATGCTCTGATGCATTACCTCTACGTGAGCTTCGTCAATGTTGTCATGCGGCAACCCAACTGCAGAGAGACTGGACTACCTTCAGATTTCAACTCCCAAGTCAATTATGACGCTTGGCATGAACACCGCAAAGGAAATCTTCCACATATCGAGTTATGTGGGAAAGTTGCCATACGTCAACACGACCTTCGACGGTCTTACTTACCATAACAACCAGTAAGTACTTGGGTGGATCAGATACCACTTTGGACCACATTCGCCGAATGCAAGGACACTTGCAAGGTGAACATGGATCAGTGTACTACTGGCTTAGGTGAGTCCCATGGGGTATTGATGAGAAAACCGACCCAGACCATGGCCAACCACCGCCTTCTACTTACACTTTGTAAGCGAAAATGATGTGCTGGCCATCGTCAACATGCGTCGGTGTGTAACCAAGAACTGTCCATGGTTGCACATTAGACTTCGAGGATGCAGTCTCTTCTCGCCGACGCATTCCAGATCGCGCGCGAATTATTCCAAGTAAACCGTGATCCCTTTCATGGTCTCCCTTCTTCTTCCACCGTGATAGTCACCAGCGTGAAGGGATATGATTTGGACGATCCAAGTATCCCTCGGCAACCCGACGGTTCGATCACGCGACCGTTTTCTGGCGGTTTAGGATGTTTTGCATGCGCGGATATTGTTAACATGCGCTCTCCATCGTGGGAATGTCCGAGCTGCAAGAAGAGCTGCGGCCATAACCAGCCTGGACATGTACGGACACCTGGCAAATGCAAGTTTGCCAAATCTTGGAAGCTGCCCGACAATCGCGGACAGGCACCACCGGCTCCTGCCGAATCAGCAACGCCACCACCCGAGGCACAAACCGCACCACCACTTGTGCGGCTACGAGCCCCAAGACCCGGCTCTAGACCCGGACCCGCAGCGGGCGCCAGCAGACACGACGTTACAGTAGGCAGCCATGCTGCTGAACCTGCTGCGTGGCAACCTGCCTCGAGTGGAGCGGGTAGTTCGGATGGCCACATCCGACTGCCACAGGTCAGAGTCAGACGCGGCCGACAGCAAGGAGGATATCCACCTCCACCGCCACCTGCGGGTAGCCCTGCTGGACGCCCGCGACTTCCACACTGTTCAAGGTTCGACGTGCAAATCAGTTTACAAAGCTACGGAAGTCTGTTTTCGGGGACCTTCCAGTCTGCAGAAACCTCCCCGGCTCCCACCACCGCGCCCCGGCATCTCGCCGTCCCAACAGGCCTAACCTGTTGCGTTTCACTGTTTGATTCAATGTTTTTTTTTGCCATTCGGCTTTCCACCGCTCCACGACCGCCCCAGAGGCAGTTCGAAAGGGGTCGGGAGGCCCAACCAGCAGCCTCGCCTCAGGCGAAGCCAAGCTCCAGCTCTGTTGTACCGTAGTAGCGATAGTCCCAGTAGTAGGAGGCGAGCCATCTCAAACAGTTTTGGTATCGATGGCAAAATAGTACACCTCGCACTGAGGTGTAGTCAGATCTGGGCGGCCGGCCGCTTGAGCCCAAACGGCCGTTTTGGGGCGGTCGTGGAGCGCTGGGAAGCCGAAAGGGGCAACAAATATTTCTAAAACAGTGGAAATCAACGATTTGGGTCCTTGGGGCGGCGGGGTGCCGGGGCGCGGTGGGGGGGGCCGCGGAGGTTTGTGCACAGTGGGGGGGCCCCAAAACACAGACTTCCGTAGTTTGTGATGCGGACTTGGGAGCTTTTTGGGCGGCGGTCGTGGAGCGGCGAAGAGCCGACAGGCAAAAACTGTGACAAAACAATGAAACGCAGCTGTGGGGGGGGGCCGGGGAGGTTTTGGCAGAGTGGGGGGTCCTCACAAACAGACTTCCGTAGCTGGGGGGCGGTCTTGGGAGCCTTTGGGGCGGTCGTAGAGCGGTGTGAAGCCGAAAGGGGCCAAACATATCAAACACAACAATGAAAATCAACGATTTGGGCCTCTTGGGGCGGCGGAGTGCCGGGGCGTGGTGGGGGGGGCCGGGAGATTTTTGCAGAGTGGGGGGTCCTCAGAAACAGACTTCCGTAGTTTGTGAAGCGGTCTGGGGAGCCTCTGGGGCTGTCGTGGAGCGGCGGAAAACCGAAAGGGGAAAACCATTGATTGGAGAGCGGTCTTGGGAGCCTCTGCGGCGGTCGTGGAGCGGTGGGAAGCCGAAGGGTTCAGCAACATTTCTTTAAGCAATGACAATCAACGATTTGGGTTTCTTGGGGCGGCGGGCCGCTTGGGCTCTTCAGCGGTCGAGGAGCGTCGGGAAGCAGAAAGGTGAAAACACAGTTCAAAACAAAAAGCACTGATAAATTCTGTTCCTGGGAAGGTTTTTGCATAGTGGGGGTCTCCAGGAGCATGCCTCCAGAGGCTTGGGCGCTGGTCTCGGGGGCCTCTTCAGCGGTCGAGGAGCGTCGGAAAGCCGATGGGCGAAAAACCGTTTTAAGAAAATGAGGGGAATGCGGGGTCTTGGGAAGGCTTTTGCAGAGTGGGGGGTCTCCAAGAGCATGCCTCCAGAGGCTTGGGCGCTGGTCTTGGGGGCTTTAGCGGTCGAGGAGCGCCGGAAAGCCGTAGGCGAAAAACTTTGAAAAAAAAAGAAACCAGCGATTTTGGCCTCTGGGGCCTGCGAGGTGCCGATGCGTGGTGGGGGGCCCCGGCGAGGTTTTTGCCGGGTGGGGGATCGCCAATAAGAGACCTCCAGAGGCCTGGGGAGCGGTCTTTGGGGCCTCTTGGGCGGTCGTGGCGCGTAGGGAAGCCGAAGGGCGTGGTGGGGGCGTGGTGCAGGGTGGGCGGCCCGTAAAAAACAATGCCCAAAGGCTCCAGAAGATTGGTGGTGTCAGACGTGGTAGGCGTGGTGGTGGGAGTGCCGTCGAGGATGTTGCAGCTCGCGGGATCTCAAGAACAGTGGTCGCAGAGGTGAGGATGCGAGGGCGTGGTGGGTGGGAAAAAGGTCCCAGTCGCATTCGTGTAGACTGTTCACAAAGGATGTCGTACACGCCTCTGGGGTCGGCGGATTTCTGGGCTCCCATAGTCCAACTCTACCTTAACAAACGCCTTCCTACTCAAAAGAGCGAGTGGCTTCACCGTTTCTGTCCTCCTTAGGGGGGCGAACGTAATCCACACGAGGCCTATACCCATCGGTCGTCGAAAGTAGTTTTTTTCTTCCGGATTCTCAGATCCCAATCTACCTTAAGTTCCTTCCTACTCAAATGATCGTGGCGGACACCCAATCTATTTTCAACGCCTTCCCACTTCATGGTTCTACCTTATTCTTCCTACCGATGGGTACGTATCCAGGCCCACCCTGAACCCAGGCGTTGTGTACAGTGGAGACCCATGCCAAGAAGCACCTTGCTTGTCTCCAGGGTGCCCTGGGCTTCTTGGGTCTCGATGGTTTTGCGGTGGAAGGAGTGACATTTCCGCACCAAGCGTCAATGGGCGTCCTGGGGTCTCAGGGTTGGGTTTCTTGTGGAAGGTTTCTTGTGGTCGAACCCCTAGTCACTGTATCACCGAGCGCGTTCCACTATTCGCAGCGTGCCTACTCGCAAACCTCCGAAAAACAACCACGTGTTTCCCTCGATGTAGTGGATCGTAAATGCCCCGCGGCGGAACTCAGGCCATTTGCGAGTAGTTGCTTTTGCGAGTCGTGGAGCGCGCTTGTCCAGCGTATGCGCCTTCCTGGCTTGGCCAGCAGGGCGTGTCGTACACAGAGCTCCTGGGTTCGGGATGGGCCTGGCCAGGGAGCAGTGGACATGTATAGGTTTCGTCGCCCCACTCGCAGCCCGCCTGCCCTGCTCGCCCACTGGAGCTTCCGGGGACGCGTATTGGGAATCGTCAGAAAAGCACCTTCGGGACACGTGCAAGTTCAAGCAGGCCGCGCCGAGGCTTCTGGACCGCCGTCGGAGGAGGAGGAGGAGGGAGGAGGAGGAGGAGGAGGAGGAGGAGGAGGAGGAGGAGCTGGAGGAGGAGGAGGAGGAGGAGGGAGGGAGGGAGGGAGGGAGGGAGGGAGGAGGAGGAGGAGGAGGAGGAGGCAACCCTCATTCAGCTCCGAGGAGCGGCCTGCTTCCCCCCACCAGCTCGGGCCTCAGCGCCGACGGGGCTCAGCACCACGGGGGGTCAGCGAGAGCACTGGATCCTGCAGGTTCCCGCGGGGCTGGATTTTGGTTTTGAGCCGGGTCTGCGAGCCGGTCGCGGCCAGGGAGGTGGCATCACGTCTTGGTGGAGCCGGTGTGGGGAAAGCCCTCCCGAGGGTTGTAGCGCCGTTCTTCCTGCGTCTTGGCATCGCTCGGACGTGTGCATTTTTTCTCGGCGGGGACCTTCGAGGACCATTTTGGATTATCTTGCGAAGAATACACGCACGAAATCGAAAAATGCACGGGGAATGGACGTCCGAGCGATGGCGAGACGTTGAATTTGCTGAGACGGGTTTGCGCTGAGCCCAGGGCAGTCAGCGCCCAGCCGGTGACGCTTCTCCCACGCAGCGGCCCATCATAGGGGTTGCGTGGGTTCCCCCTCCCACCTGCCATAATGGCGTCAATAGCCACCGGAGTGGGCCGGGGCCCCTCGGCCAACAAAGACGGCCGTAGAGAGGGGTGCCAACGTCATTCCACAACTCTGACCCTAATACCAGAGGGAGACACTTGAGAAAAGAAAGGAAGCAGGGTCGTTTGCACCGACATTAGCGCATACGCTGGCCGCGTAAGGTCGCGCGGAAGCACCTCCATCGTGCCGTCTTCTCCTCGCCTCCCTCGCCTCTGGCCAGCGACGCCTCCCCCCGACGGCGGCCGCCGCCGCGCGCCGGCCGCGCCCGCGCCGCCGCCAGGCATGGCCCCCGGCATGCACGGCATGCCGTGGGGTGGCGGCATGGCCCCAGGCATGCCCATGCCCGGCATGCCCGGCGGCATGCCTTGGTGCGCCCCCCCCCCCCCCCTGCTTCAGGAGGGAAAGAAACACGCAGACACAATTGATCGTCCCCAGAAAATATAGGAAAATATGGGAAGTGGGGGGGGAAGACAAAAACCCAGAAAATATCAGAAAATATGGGGAATCATTATATTTGTGTGTATTTATTTGTGTGTCCTTGGGCCCCTTCACTGCTTCCTTGGGACCTCCGTAGGATTCCTGGAGTTCCTAGGGTTCCTCTTAGGCTCCCTAAGGATTCGTCGGATTCCCTAGGGAACTCGTAGGAATTCGCAGGGATTTCCTAGGATTCCTAGGGAATTCGTCGGATTCCGAAGGGTTCCTAGAATCCCTAGGGAATTCGTAGGAATCTTTAGGGAACCTGGTTCCCTGAGGATTCGTAGGATTTCTCGGGATAGGATCCCCAGGAATCCCTGCCCTCCGCCCGCCCCCCCTGATATCCTGGCGTCTCGACTATGTCGAGCCGGGCGTTCTCGCGTGATTTCGGGCACTGGGACCCTCACAGATCGATCCCGCTTGAAGCACGGCGCAGAAAGATAGTGTTTTGAGTTCCGGCCGCGATTTCGCTACGTCGGGTCTCATGGCTGCCCTCCTCCCTCCCCTCCTTTCTCCCTTCGCCTCCCTCTCTCCCTCTTCCCCTTCGTCTCCCTGCCTTCTCCCTCCTCCTCGTCCTCCCCTTCCTTCTCCTCCTCCTCCTCCTCCTCATCCTCATCCTCATCCTCATCCTCATCCTCATCCTCCTCATCCTCATCCTCATCCTCCTCATCCTCATCCTCATCCTTCTCCTCTTCCTCCTCATCCTCCTCCTCCTCCTCCTCCTCCTCCTCCTCGTGCTTCGCCCCTGCTTTGGGGCCTGCCTGGAGAGATCAGTTCGCCGCAGCGCACCCCCCCGTTCTCGCTCTGTGGCCCCCGTGCCCTGGACCTGCCTTGTCGAGTGCAGGCCGCCGCAGCAGCTCTATTCCCAGGTCTGCTCCGTCCTCCCCCCGAAATTCATTCAAACCAGCGCCGATATTTTTGTCGGGCCCTTGCGACGCCCCGAAGGCACTTCCAAGGTGCCTTCGGCGCGCGCGAGCGTGCGCGGCGCTTTCTCTTCGGCGCCGCTTTTGCGCGGAGCCAGCGTTAAACGGGCAGTTTTTGCGGCGGCAACCGTGTTGCCAGGGTGTCCCGCTGCAGGGGTCGTTCGGCCGTCCGCACCAGGGCGCCCAGCTCCGCAAAGGAAAACGTTATGGCACGCTAGATCGTTAACAGGTCTTCCACTCCCCCGTCCCCTTCGTTCTAAGAATCTCCCGCTCCTCTTTCGCTACCACCACTGTTCCCCCTCATCTTTTCCATCCTCATGCGCATTGTTGTTCGATCTTCTCCTCGTCCCTTGGCGCCACGAGCTTGAATGCAGTCGGTGTGTGTGCATGTGTGTGTGAGTGTGTGAATGTGTGTGTGTGTGTATGCGCCTCTCCTCGCGCACGGCTTCCGATGGGTCCATTGGATGATGTCTTTCTGGAGGGTACGCCCCCATTCTTGAATATATTCAGGGGACCGAACGGGCCACCGCTACGGCGAGTTGGAGTCGGCGCCGACCGCGTACTTCAGCAAAGTGGGCCAGGGGAAGCACGGGCCCGCGCCCCGTGGTGCTCTGGAGAGGGATGCGTCGAAGATGCTGGAGCAGCTCATGGCGCGATTGCAGTTTTGAGTTCTGATGCCAGTCGATTGCGGACTGGTCTGAGCAGCCCGAGCACAGTGGCGACCGCCAGCCGAGCGGGGACTGGAATGAGAGTTGCTGCTCCAGCGTCTGTGGGTGCCAGACTGACGGGAGGCGAAGGCCCCCGATTTCCTCTTGCCCGCGCGGGGGGCAGTGCGCCCAGGGAGAGGTGCATAGTTGTGCCTGCCGTTTTCAAGGCTTCAGCCAGCTTCGGGGCCCAAGTTGAGCGCGGAGAGCTCTTCTTCCCCCTTTCCTCCCTCGTCATCTAGCTCTGCGGCTGCTGATTCTTGCCCCCCCTCCCCCCGTGGTCCCGCTCCTCAAGACCCCCCACTCCCCGAGATTTGTGTATACCTATTTTATAGAATGGGTCTCTCAGGAGCCGAGAGAACTCTCGTTGTGCCCAAGGTCCGAACGCAGCAACAAAAACGTCCCAGGCCGAATGCCAGCGGAGTGTAATTGCGAGAGAACGGCGGTGCCATCACCCCCCTTCATTGGCATTTCCCAGTTTCAGGGTGGGCCGAGGCCCGAGTGAGTTCCGCCTGCAGCGCCAACCGCTGCGGGAAGCTGCATCACTGATGCCATTCAGGTGCTAGTTCCTTTTCCAATTTGATGTGTGTAGGCACATGCGATAGCACCCCAGAGTTTCCTTGCCGTGCCTTGCCTCCTCCTCCTCCTCCTCCTCATCCTCCTCCTCCCTCCTCCTCCTCCTCCTGCTCCTCTTCCTTCAATGATTCTCCTCCCTCCCACTTTCTCTTCATCCCGTTTTCTCCTCCTCCCCCCTCTCCAGTTTCTTCATTCCTTCGTCGCCCTCCCTCCTCCCTTTTCTCAATTTCAACCCCTGTCAGCGTAATGTTTAACTTATATATATATATGTATTTATATATATAGATATACTGCAAACATTTTTTCACGGGGGTTCACCTCAATTTTTCCTGCGGGTTTTTGTTTTTCTGATTGTGTTCGATGTTTCAAGATGGTGTTCCCGCTGCAGCTTGGGCCCTTAATTTCGGATCGGCGCTGTGCTCCCATCCTTCAGAATTGCGCTGTCGCCCAAGCGCGGGCCATTCTTCTGGATCCGAGTCCTTCCTCAGCGCTGTCGCCCATCTCCTTTCGCCTTCTCCGCCTTCCCCAGGTCTTTTTGCTCCTCCCATTTGTTACGCTCCAAGTTATGTTGCTGCCTTTGCTCGTTTTCGTCCTCCTTCTCCTCATCAGTTTTCTCCTCCTGCTCATCCTCCTGCGCAACTGCCACTCTATCGTCGTGTTATGTACGCAGCTCTCCTGTTTTGATGTTGCATAACACACGGGGTCTTTGTTTGAGTTCCAGGCCGGCTGTGGCGCTCGTCAGCGAATAGATAACGAGTCGGCGCAATTGGGAAAGACGAAAGAAACAGAGAGAGGGATCGTGATAACAACAAAAGCAGCAGGATGTCACATGTGCCGTGGGCGCACCTCAGTTGTCCCGTCCCCCCCTTCCCCCTCCTCCCTTGCCCTCGACCTCCGTCCGCCCCACCCTCTTTCACTCGTCCTCGCCACCCCGCTCGTGTTCGCCACCCCCTCCACCCCGTGCGCCTCCATTGCCAGCCTCGAGCATATCCCTGTTCCTGTGATTGGCATCGCCCCATCTCGATGCCAATCTTCAAGATCCCCTCAGCATTTGGGACCTTATCGTTAAGAATGTCATCGCCTCTGGGAATGCCAGTTTGAGATAGGGGTAGGTGTGAGGCTGGTGCCCCCCCTCCTTCCGCCACGCCCCTCCGGCTCTTTGCCTCCTCGGCCCGAGGTCGCCCTTCGCTCCCCCCGTGCATGCCCCGAGCCTTTCCCCCGCGCAGGGCCCAGTAAACTCGATCCCCGAGCTTCGAACGACGACGATGGCGACAGCGTCGACGACGGCGGCGACGGCGACGGCGACGACGACGAAGAAGGTGAAAATGAAAACGGCAGCGAAAACGATAGTGTCAACGACGGCGGCGGCGACGGCGACGACGACGACGACGATGAGCGGCGGAAGCGGCGACGACGACGACGATGAAGAAGCTGAAGAGGAAAACTATGGCGAAAACGACAGCGTTGGCGGCGGTGGCGGCGACGCTGACGACGACGAAGAAGCTAAAGGTGAAAACGACGACGACAACGACAGCGTTGACGGCGGTGGCCACGGCGACGGCGACGACGACGAAGAAGTTGAAGATGAAGACGACGACGAGAACGGCACTTCTGGCGGCGGTGGCCACGATGACGGCGCAAGCCTTGCAGCCGACCGCGCTCCCGCGAGGCCGTACCCACCCATGGGGTACCCGCCGATGCAGCCGGGCGCGCCGCGTTCCCCCCAGCAGATTCGATTTTCGCCAGTGGGGATATGTGGGGCAATCGCACGATGAGCAGGGGGGGAGGAGGCAAGCAGAGCATTCCTTCACGGGTGAAAAAAAGGTCCTGGAGCTTGCACGGCACAGCTCGCAGGAGCAGAACCATCGAGGTAGGCCCGGCTGGGCCAATCAACGACCCGCGGGGGAAAGCGGACCCGCGGGGACCCCGAGAGAAAGAGGCTTCTTTTACTCCCCGAGACGCGGCGGCGGTGCGCGCCGTCCTCAGCGCACGCGCCTGGGCCCCTATGGCATCAAGAGGAGGAGGAGGAGGAGGAGGAGGAGGAGGAGGAGGAGGAGGAGGAGGAGGAGGAGGAGGAGGAGGAGGAGGAGGGAGGAGGAAGAGGCGAAGTAGGAGGAAGACGAGGAGGAGGAGCAGAGGAGGTGGAGGAGGAGAAGGAGGAGGGGGAGGCGAAGGAGGAGGAGGAGGAGGAGGAGGAGGAGGAGGAGGAGGAGGAGGAGGAGTAGGAGTACGAGGCAGAGGAGGAGGAGGAGGAGGCCTCCTGAGGGGTGCCCTGGACGCAGCGGCGGCCTTGAAATCCTGGCGGAACCTTCGGCCATGGGCACTTCTGGGAGCACCCGACCCTTCCCGGGTCTGCATCCCGAGTTGTCTTTGGCGGTCCGGGGGCGCAGTGGGGCCCCCCAGAGTCGGCCACGCGCAGAGGGAGTCTGCGGCAGGGGGGAAGTTTCTCGGGAGCGCTCTTTTGCTACAGGGCGCGGACCTTGTCTGGAGACATAGGGCCGGCGCCTTCTCAGAAGCGGCCTCCTTCAAAACAGCGTTCCTCTTTCCCCCCTACCCTTGCTCTCTCGACAGGAGGAATGTCCCCAAACAGCGAAAACATTGTC